GTAGTTAGCTTTAATTCTTGACTCCTCTGATTTTCAATCTATTCGATGCTTTGACGAATAGCTGAAGTTCTTCTGGCGCTGCATTTATCGTCTGGCCGTCATCAGAGTCTCGAATCTAAAACTAATGAGTTGAGTTTGGCTCGTGTCATTGAGTTGACTTAGAACTGACTATCTCCATCGCATTGTGCTGACATAGGGTTTCAGATCGGCGTATGTTGACTTTTTGTCATAACGTGTTGACTGGCGTTGACCTAAGGTTACGCGTTGACCAACGTTAACCTGGGGTTTCGGATCGCAACGCGTTGATTGGTGTTGACCTAGGGTTACACGTTGACCAGCATTAACCTAGGGTTTCGGATCGTAACACTATTGAGTTTTGGTCGCAACGCGTTGACTAGCGTTGACCTAGGGTTACACGTTGACCGGTGTTGACCTAGGATTTCGGATCGTTCGATATTAACTTTTGGTCGCAACGCGTTGACTGGCGTTGACCTAGGGTTACGCGTTGATCGGCGTTGACCTAGGGTTTCGGATTGCGACGCGTTGACAGGCGTTGACCTAGGGTTTCGGATCACAATGCGTTGATTGGTATTGACCTAGGGTTACGCGTTGACCGGCGTTGACCTAGGGTTTCAGATCGATCGCCGTTAACACAGTTTATACTTGTACGTCTGCTAGAGTATACACAGTTTAAACTTTTAAGATATTGGAGCATGGCGGTCCTAACAGTTGGGGCTACAGGACCAACTGTTAAAGCTGATTTGTCTGCAGATATGGATCTTATTCCGAAGCTTGTTGAATGCTTGAGTCACGAGACCAGTTAATAAAGCTGGTGCGTCAATGACTTTTGTATATATAGGATTTTTGGTAAACCCTCAGCCATCAATGGGTTTGATGAGCCTTTACCGACTACCGTTTGAGTCGGGCTAGCCTGCAGATTGTTTAAATTCGTTCTGCATGTAACTTTGTGCTAAAAAAGTTAACTCTTTTAGTGCTACGATATTGAATACGTAGACTTCGTCTTTCTTACAGGAATAGACTACCCGGCAACGTGTGTTAGACATTGACTTAGGATTTTTAGCAAACCCTCAGCCATCAATGGGTTTGATGAGCCTTTACCGACTACCGTTTGAGTCGGGCTAGCCTGCAGATTGTTTAAATTCGTTCTGCATGTAACTTTGTGCTAAAAAAGTTAACTCTTTTAGTGCTACGATATTGAATACGTAGACTTCGTCTTTCTTACAGGAATAGACTACCCGGCAACGTGTGTTAGACATTGACTTAGGATTTTTAGCAAACCCCCAGCCATCAATGGGTTTGATGTGCCTTTACCGATTACCGTTTGAATCGGGCTAGCATATGAATTATTAAAACCCGTTTCACATGTAACGTTTTGCTAAGAGAATTACTTCTCCTAGACTTAGTGCTATGATTTTGAATACATAGACTTCACCATTTTTTACGGGAACATGGCACCCGGCAACACGCGTTAAGTGATGACTTACCCCTTCTTAGGCTTCGGGATAAAATACCCCAGAATTATACTCTGGTGTCTTTTTCAATCGGTGAAAGACTAAATCGGCAACGCGTATTAGGCATAGGCTTATCTCTATTTAGGAGTCGAGATAAAATTCCCCATGCATAAAGTGCGCGGATTGGAAGTTGAGAATTGTGTCTTTTCTCAGGGTAAAGACAAACCCGATGCTGGAGAGGAAGAATTTTATATTCTATCTCCAGGTCTTGTTTAGGGTAAAGACGGACCAAAAAATGGAAGAGAAAGAATTTTATATTCTATCTCCCGGCACTGAAGAGGAAGAATTTTATATTCTATCTTCAGTTGGAAAGGAAACTCGAAGTGGGATCTCCACCCCCAGAATTCGAAAAGATAAAACTAGAAGTGAGATCTCCACTCTGAGAATCAGAAAGATTCAAGAAACCCTAACTTTTATAGGATTGATTGCCTGATCCAAGAAAAGAGTTCCTCATTTATTGAGGGGAAATTCCGATTCCAACCCTAACTTTTATAGGTTTGGTTAAAAAGGAAAAGATGGAAGTCTTTCGTTTATCGAAAGGGATGACTTGATCTTAGTCCTAACTATCTGCAGGTTTGACTAAGTGACACTATAACAAATTGCACTTTTCCCGACGCTTATTCCCGACGCATGTTTAAATACGTCGCCAAAAATTAGGTTTTTCCCGACGATTTTAGTTAGCGTCGGCAAAACATATATTTTTCCCCACGTTTTTAATTAGCGTCGCTAAAAGTGTATATTATTAGCGACGTTTTAACTTAGCGTCGGTAAAAGTGTATGGATTTCCCGACGTTTTTGATTTTTGTTGGCAAAAATATATATTTTTAGCGACGTTTTAGGCCTGGCGTCGCTAATAGTATGCATATATCGCGACGTTTTAACTTAGCGTCGGTAAAAGTGTATGGATTTCCCGACGTTTTTGATTTTTGTCGGCAAAAATATATATTTTTAGCGATGTTTTAGGCCTGGCGTCGCTAATAGTATGCATATATCGCGACGTGTAGATAAGCGTCGCTAAAAGTCTATCTTTAACGACGCTGTTACTCATCTGCATCGCCAAAGGTCCTTTGGAGGGATATTTCCCTCGCTTATTTTCACGAAAAAAAGTAAAAAAAGCAAAACCCCCCATCCCCCGTTCTTTCTCTCTCGTCAGAAATCCCAAAATCCCCAAATCCCCCATCGGAGTTCGTCGCTGCCCCCAAATCCCACTCTCCTCCTTCAACCGGAATAAATCCAGATGCAAACCCCCCCATCAAGGACACATCCTCTCCTCTCCTCGCCCCCGCTCCTCTCGCCTAGGGTTAGGGTTCCCCCCTTTCCGCGCCGCCGCCGCCGCCTCCTCCTCGGCCTCCGAACCCGCCACCACTCGATCCGAAGGCACGGTCGAAGAACTACTCAACAAAGGCGACCAAATCGATCGCCTGATGAAAATGGAGCGGAGATCCGAACCCGATAGCGGGTTGAGCAACGGCCGCTGGTTTCCTTATCTGGATGTTTTCAGGGCGGGAACAATTGAGCTGGGCAGCGGTGAAGTGATCGAAGCTATGGATCCTTACATAATGGATGGGAGAAAGGAGAGGATCCGGAGAGCCGTGGAGAACCGGAGCTATTCCGTGTGTTTGGTGGTTGAGGGGTTGACTGATTTCGGCAACGTTTCGGCGGCGTTTCGGTCGGCAAGAAAAGGTGCTGCTAAATTTGAGGTGAAAAAAATTACACCTTTCTTCAATTCTCTGTTAAAGTTGGTACTTCTTGTGCAATTCTGGCATATTATTAGGAAAAAAAGGCGAAAATGTAAAGAATTCGGGTATTTTTTAATCATTCTTTAATGATATTCTTTAATGGTAATATCTATGATTTTCATGCTACACTATCTGATACAAGCTACCAAATAGGGTTGTTAAGGAATAGATTGCTTCAAATGCTGCCCAAGTGTTTTCAGAAGCATGCAAAGAATTATGCTTTTTCAATTTACTGGTCCACTTAAGACACAGAACGAAAAAAAAATTGAGCTATCCAGCGTAAAGTCATTTCTAGTGCATCCATGTAGCAGGTTTAGAATCTCAACGTGCTCTCTATTATGTAGTGCATTTTATTTGACCGTAAAATAATTAGTCACGTGTTTACTACATTCTTAAGTTATTAAAGATTTGGTAGTAGAGTTTGTTTTGTGAAGATCAGTATATCTACTTACTTTTGCTTTATCTCTATCAGATTTGGGAACCATGAAAATGTTAGTTGAATATCTATATACTTTAAGGATATATCAAATTTGATAGTTGAGTTTGTTCTATGGGATCTGAGATATCTCAATGCTTGATCTTGAATATGCGATGCTGAAAATAGCAAGTTTGCTTGGAGCATAAAATCTCATATCTTAAACTTGCCATTCCAGCATATTTTCCCAGAGTAAGAAGTTTTCATGGATAAGGACCATAAGTTGTATCTCTAGTTTCACTCCAAATAGATATTCATTTGCTTGGTGGCAGAAAGTTAAAAGAATCAGAGATGTTTTGTTAGAAGCTTATTAATCAAACACAGAGTATTTCCTGCCTTTACTTAAAAATAAAAAAATCTGCTTATTTGCTTTCAGATTATTGTTGCAAAGTGGGCAAACAGAAGAGTGAGTCCTTTACTTGCAAGTCAGTCTCATGGAAAAAAAATTTCTTTTTATCATGAATTTAGTCGAGAGTTTTTTTGCTTTGCCTTGTTTTATATTCTTTCTTTTTTGAAATGCAAACTTCCGAATACACGTGCTACGAAATATTTGAGGAAACAAGTAAGTTTTTAACTTCATCTCATGGGTTGATTCTTTGCTTTTAGTTACTTCAGTATTCAAAGTTATACACGTCTTTGAAGTCCTTTATCGGCTGCCTGAAGTGTTCAATTATGGAAATTTGTTGATTATTTGATTTGGGTTCTATTGTTTTCAGAAATATTTGGAGGAAATCACCGAAATAAATGCTTTTGGGTTGACCTTGTTGTTTTCTGGGGTCTTCTATATATTGGGTATGAAGTAATACTAGATAATTTGATGCATGCAAATTGTGTTTGTTTGTGGTTATTATGAAAATTGTGGTTCAATTACTGGTTATTATGCAAGTTGTGAACTGTGTAAGAATTTGATGAAGCCCATTGGATTGATAGCTAGTGACTCGTGAAAACATTTGGACACCTGATTATCTTAGAAGGACTTTTCATTAAGAATTAAAAAACAAACATTATATACACATACATAAATGTGTCAAGTGTACCTACATCATTTGATTTATCTATGAGAAAAGGCACGGATGGCAATGATGATGAGCTGAGTGTTTTCTTTGTACAGGAGATTTTGCGAAACAATGAGAACTCTATGTTTCTGTTAAAAATGTTTGAGCATGTCTCTGCAATTAATAATAGCTTTCTGTCCAATTAAAAGTCAGTGTTGTCATAAATACTTTCCCT